AGAAGGGTCTAGGCCCGAAACGTCAGCCTTCCTGCTCCTCTGATGCTGCTTGACCTGCTGTGTTCATCCAGCTCTACACCTTGTTATCTCAGAGGTGGGAGGGAAATATCTTTTTGGTGGTGGGGTCTGATTGTTTGTGGCGGAAATGTCGGAGGATGATGCATTGTATTCAGAGGTTGATGGGTGGTACGTGAGGACTAATGGGACTCTATCTATCCCTATTGTTGTTGGGGGGAGAGAGTTTGAGGACAGAAGCATAGCAAATGGGGGAGATGCGGTTGAGGGCATCCTTAATAACAGAGGAAGGGAAATTAGGGTCTCTAAAGTAGGAGGATATCTGGGAAGTCCTAGAGTAGAACGTCTCATCCTGGGAGTAGATGCGGCGGAGGCAGAGGAATTGCGAGTATGGGAAAGGATTTTTGGGATAGGAGGGTGGGTGAGAGGAGGTGTAGTTGAGGTAAGTGTAAGAATCAGTGGGTTTGAAATGGATGTCAGTGGTGAGTTGGTTACTGGAGATGGAGATGGAGAGGTCTAGGAAGGGGAGGGAGCTGTCAGAAATGGTACAGGTGAATTTGAGAGCGGGGTGAAAGGTGTTGGAAAAGTTGATGAACAGTTTGAGCTCCTCACAGGAGCACGAGGCAGCACTGATACAGTCATCAATATAGCAGAGAAAGAGGTGGGGGATGGTGCTGGTGTAGTTGTTGAAGAGGGACTACTCCAAGAATCCTACAACGAGGCAGGCATAGTTCAGGCCCATGCGGGTGCCAATGGCCACCCCTTTGGTTTGTAGGAAGTTGGGAGGAATCAAAGGAAAAATTGTTGAGGGTAAGGACCAGTTTCACCAAGCTAATGAGTATGTTGTTCGAGGGGGACTGGGTGGGCCTACGGGAGAGGAAGAAGTGTAGGGCTTTTAGGCCAGTTTCGTCGGGGATTCAGGTGTACAAGAACCGAACGTCCGTGGTGAAGATGAGATCTTGGGGGCCGGGGAATTGAATGTTTTGAGAAAGGTGGAGGGCGTGGCTTGTTTCCCGAACGTAGCTGGGGAGTTCCTGGTCCAAAGGGGAAAGAACGGAGTCGAGGTAGGAGGAGATGAGCTCAGTGGGGCAGGATCAGGCAGAGACAATGGGTTGACCGGGGCAGTCGGGTTTATGAATCTTGGGTAGGAGATAGAAACGGGTGGTGCGGGGTTGGAGAACTATAAGGTTGGAGGCTGTGGATGGGAGATCTCCTGAGATGGTGAGGTTGTTGATGGTCTGGGTGATGATGGCTTGGTGATCAGAAGTGGGGTCGTGATAGAGTGGACGGTAGGAGGAGATGTCAGAGGAAACTGGAGGAACAAAACCTCATATTTCACCTTGGGAACTTACAGCCCAATGGCCTGAATATTGACTTCACCAGCTTCAAAATCTCTCCTCCCCCAACCTGTCCATCTTCCAACTCACTTATCTGCTCCACCCTTCCCACTGACCAACCACAATAAACCCCTACCTGCATACTTTTCTTACTGTCTGATGACCTTTCAAGAATAATTTCCTCATTTAAAATTGATCTCACCAGTTTGGGTATATTCTAATTACTAGGAAAAATGCAGCCAGCAACCAATATATGGTGGTTGGGCCATAAGATATAGGAGGAGAATTAGGTATTTGGCCCAATGAGTCACCGCTGCTATTTAATCATGGTTGATATATTTCCCAATGCCATACCCCTGCCTTCTCCCCATTAACTTTGATCCCCTTAATAATCAAGAACCTACCCATCGCTGTATTAAAGACACTCAATAACTTGGCATCCACAGCCTTCTGTGGCAATGAGCTCCTCAGATTCACCACCCTCTGGTTGAAGACATTCCTCCTCATCTCAGTTCTAAAGGGTCATCCCTTCACTCTGAGACTATGCCCTCAGGTCCTAATCTCTCCTATCAGTGAAACATCTTCTCCATGTCTATTTTATTCAGACCTTTCAGTATTCTGTACAATCACACTGACTCTCCTGAGAAATAGAAACAAAAAATTGTGTCTACAATTTTGATTTAAATGAACTGAACTCCAAATTAACTTTCTATTCTGTGTTTGTCAGAAAATCAAAAGTCTGTTCAGGTTCTGACATTTCCATTTGGTTGAAAATTACTGTCATTCCTTTGTTCTAAAACAAATTACTTTACGATGTTTATCATACATATAATGCAAAATGGTTTCCAGCGTTTAAAAACTGTTTCAAGAAGCAATGATTAAAATAAACACGTTGGTATTTCATAAGTCATTGTCACGTTTTTGTCCACACTTTTCTTCAAATATATAACACTTCAACAGCCCTGTTTAAACATTCAGAATAGATATTTGGTATGTGAACAAATGGCTGTAACAATGCCATACAAGCTGTGGCCAGTGAATGGCGCTGTGATCTGGGTTGGTAAATTCTATTAAAATAAAAACCAAAAGAACCGCGGATGCTGTAAATCAGGAACAAAAACAGAAGTTGCTGGAAAAACTCAGCCGGTCTGGCAGCATCTGTGAAGAAAAATATCAGAGTTAACGTTTCAGGTCTGGTGACCCTTCCTCAGAAACAGTAAACCTTACCAGTGCCATAGTTATTACAAATACATTTGTTTCTTTGAACAATATTGATATCAATATGAATCATCAATGTTTACACATGATTGTCAACAAATAGTAACGTGGAGACAATATTGTAAGGCAACCTTGCACAAGCACAGCAATACCAGATTCATCTGCATCAGTAATGCTGGAGGTATTTTTTTTGAGAGTGCCGTAGACCAAGTTATATTGTCAGGAGAACAGTGTGTGTGCATAAATAAGCTTACATTGTTGGCCTTGCACTGCACTTGTTGAACATAAAGGGGTGTGAAGTTTCCCTTCCAGTGAGGTCACATGCTTGATCCTAAGTCCTGGACTTGTGCCAACTGGGCTGACATTTCACCACATATTCTGCATTGTTGGTAAGCCAACACAGTTTGGAACATTGCAAAAAGTATGGCACCACCACTTCAATAGATAGTTTCCTTCTGGGCAGAATTGCCCTTGTACTTGATGGAACAATGCAACAACATGCAACCATATAACATCTTTAACATTGGGACATTTCAGCACGTTAAATTCCAGCACGTAGGGCCATTTCACAACTGAAAGCTGTTGAAGCTCAAAAGGCAATTTGGCACCAGAAGCAGTTCTGGGATTTTAAGCATTGTGTGATCTCCCTCTAAAGTAAGGGTGATATTTACATTCACATTTCTCGCCTACGTTCACCCACTTAACACCCAGTGATGTATCAGTACTTACTCTCTGCAGTGCAGTCTGTAAAAAGCGGAACCAAAAGAGGAACATTGTCAACATGTTCCAGGTGTGGCCGAATGTTCTCAATTCCCCTGGGTAATTTAGCCTGTGAAACAAACATCCGGTTATATTTACAGCAGGCCCTACAACCTTCAGTATAATTGAAAAAAAAACTGCCACCCAAACCTTCCACAAGGTATATTATCACAGTTTTTAAAGTCTATGGAAATCATGGGACCTCATGGGTATTATTTATGTACAGTATCCTAGGAAATTTGGAGAGATGTCATGGGGAAGGGGGTGGTTAAGATTGGGAGGAATGTAAACCCGTAATCCCTATTTTCTCATCCTCCTGAAAGCTCTGACACATGTGAGGGACTGCCTTACTGTCTCCAACCAATGTTTGGTGCCTTGGCCAAGCTTCTGAACTCACCTCTGAAGAATGATCACTTGACTAAGCAGTAGTAAACAACCAGAACCTTCAGGACCATCCGTTAAACTTCAGCACTAGTTTTTAAAGAGAAAGCAAGAAATTGGATCGGGAGTGGGCAATATAGCATCATGTGCCAGCTCTGCCATTCAGCAGGATCATGACTGATCTTCAACCTTAACTTCACTTTTCTACCCTCTTTGCAGATCCTTTGATTCCCTTAATGCCCAATTAAAATAATTAGAAAAACAGTGGGGATCTTAAAACTATTAATCAATCAATTCACTGTCATCTTTACTTCTAAAATAATTGAGTTCAAATCGTCAAAGTGCTGGAATTTGAACTTTAATTCTCTGGGCTATTAGTCCCATGATATGGGTAGAAGCATGACTGTGCTCACCTGGAGGGAATGGAGGGTAGAATGAAGGGCAAAAATTGAACATGTACAACAAATAGGATTAAACAGTGTGACACTCTCCTTAACTCTGAAGCCAAATTCCTCCAACAAATTTGAAAATATATTGTACTGATTTTGTAGCACAAATGAAGAAAGAACACTATGATATTTATCAACCAGAGATAGTAAGAACTGCTGAAGCTGGAGTCAGAGATAACACAGTGTGGAGCTGGAGGAGCACAGCAGGCCAGGCAGCATTATAGGAGCAGGAAAGCTGACGTTTCGGGTCGGGACCCTTCTTCAGAAATGGGGGAGGGGAATGGGAGCTCAGAAGTAAATAGAGAGGAGGGGTGGGGCTGGGGAAGATAGGTGGGATGGCGATAGGTGAATGTAGCTAATGATGGGGAATGGTGGAATGGTAGTGAGGTGGGAGGAGTAGATAGGCGGGAGAGAAAACGGACAGGTCAAGGGGGCGGGGATGAGAGGGAGGGTTTGTGATGGGATGAAGCCGGAGGTGGGGAGATTTTGAAGCTAGTAAAGTCCACATTGAGACCATTGGGTTGTAGGCTCTCAAGGCGGAATATGAGGTGCTGTTCCTCCAGTTTCTGGGTGTCATTGTGGCACTGGAGGAGGCCTAGGATGAACATGTCACCCAGGGAGTGGGAGGGGCAGTTGAAATGGTTCATGACCAGAAGGTGTTGTCATTTGTCACGAACAGAGCGCAGGTGGTCTACAAAGTGGTCTCCGAGCCTCTGCTTGGTCTCACCGATGTAGAGGAGGCCACATCAGGAGCAGCGGATGCAATAGACCACATTGACGGAGGTGCAGGTGAACTTCTGTCTGATGTGAAAGGTTTGTTTGGTGCCTTGAATGGAGTGAAGGGGGAGGTGTAGGGGAAGGTGTAGCACTTCCTGTGGTTGCAGGGAAAGGTGCCGGGGGGTGGTGGGGCAATGGGGAGTGTGGAGCAGTTGAGGGAGTTGCGGAGTGAGCAGTCCCTATGGAAGGCAGATAGAGGTGGGGAGGGAAATATATCTTTGGTTGTGGGGTCGGATTGCAGCTCCCTTCCCCCTCACCCATTCCTGAAGAAGGATCCCAACACGGAACGTCAACTTTCCTGCTCCTCTGTTGCTACCTGGCCTGCTGTGCTCCTCCAGCTCCACACTGTATTATATCTGTTAACAATGATATTTATGCAATGTTTCACCCCAAGATGTGATTGAATAAAGTCATAATCACAAACAAAGCATATTAAATTTTAGTACATCAGACTTACCCTGTTGAGATCCTCTATAAAGCTGCATGTATTACTGCTTGGCGTCCTTTCCTCATCTGTTTCTGGTAGACTCCCATCGTCTCTCATCAGTCTCTGAATCTCAGAATCTAAAAGGATTTTAGGATTTATAATTGAAACAACTATCTTCACAAGTTTGTAAGAAGGTTACTTTTCATCCAATACCCTAAAAATTCAGCGGCCTTAGAAGTCTGTGGGGCTTCTGCTCAACTCCCACAGTGACTCCAGGCGAAGGCTCTTAGAAAGCTCAGAGGAACCATACACAAACATTTTCATTGATGACATGCAGCTTTACCTCACCACCACCATTTCTAGAGACTACTCCAGTCCCACTAAATTGTCACGTTGCTTGTCTGACATCCAGCAATGGATGAACAGAAATGCTTTCCAATTAAATAGCGAGAAGGCATTGTCTTCAATCCCCAACACAAATTTTGTTCCCTAGCCACCAACTCTCACCTTGGGAACTATCTAGGCTGAACTACATACTTCAAAAACATCACATTTGACAGTTAATTAACTTCCAACCACATAGACACAGTATCACTAAGACCATCTATTTCTACTTCCTTAACATTGGCTGACTCGACCTATACCTCAACTCATCTGCTGCTGAAACTCTCATCCTTGCCTTTTGTTGTCTCTAGACTAGACTATTCCAACTCCAATGTCTACTCTCTACAATCCAGTGTCATTGAAAACTGGGTCACATTTCAAACTTATGTATTCCATCATTCCTCTGCTAAGGACAAATGTTCATCCTTAGTTAAACAAAGAATTGATTTTAGAATTCTCATCCTTGATTTCAAGTTCTTCCATGGCCTTATCCTTTCCTGTTGCTGAAATCTTTTCCAACCCTATCACCTTCAAAAGGACTCACATTTCTTCAATTCTGGCCTCTTGAGCATCTTCAATTTTAATCACTCAGTTATCAGAGATTGTGCCTTTAGCTGCCTCAGCACTAAGCTCTGGAATTCCCTCCTCAAATGTTTCCTCAATTAAGGTGCTCCAGAAAGTCCACTTCTTTGACAGTGATATCTCCTTATGAGGCTTGGGGATTTTTTTTTTGTTAATGGTCTGTAGTCCGAGTTGGAACATTTCTGTAGTTATTTTTTTCTGCCAGACTCCTGAAAGAGTTACAATGAGAGACAAGTTCTGGGCCTAAGGATTGCAGGGCCCTTATTATCCTGTATTTTCTTTTCCTGCCTATTTATCTTTTAGTGCACTTCTACTTCAGTGAGCTTCTTCTGGGTATTCAAAAGCTGATTTACAATTCATGTTATTAAAAAAAAGTGAGTAAAGAGAAATTGGTGAGGAGAAAGAGTGCAGAAGTAAAAACGTTGAAGGAGAGGGAGAGGGGGTAAAGGAGAGGTGTTGAATGGAGGAAGAGATGAAGTACAGAGGAGGAGAAGGGATAGAGAAGAAAGGGAGACTGGTGACAGGGGTGGGATGGATAGTCTAACTCCTGATTACCTGACCAGGCTGATCCAACCAACCATCTGAGCTGTCCACCAACTCGTTGACAATCCTCCTGAATCAGCATCACTATCCCATAGACCTATCAACAGAGCCCTCCCCACCCAAAACAACTGGAATCTCCCCCATGACTAACCACTGTCTCCCCAGGCCTGAATGCCCATTCACAAAATCAACTCACCCACCCACTATCCACTTACCCAATCTAGCTACCACATCCACCTATCTACTTAACCACTAATTCACTTACCTACTGTAACAACTTGCTGACTTTCACACATGCCCTCCTCACCCATTCACACACTCACCATTCTGTCATCAATTCACGGACATTCAAACTGGACTTTTAAACTCACCATACAGCTGATGCTATAAAGTCTGGTCTCCTGTCTGCTGATTGACACTACTCTGCCTCAGCTGAGTTTCTGAGGGACACTGTGCCACCCATTTCTGTGAGAGCCAGGAATGTATGTCCCACATTGTGGGAAGTTACAAGTGCACCAGTAATCCCCTGATCATCTCCGCTGCTCAGAAAATTCATGCTCATGAATTTTAATTTGATTTGATTTGATTTATTATTGTCACTTATACCTAGGTACAGAGAAAAGTTTTGTTTTGCATGCAATACAGGCAGATCATACCATACAAAGTGCATTGGAGTAATAGAACAGAGCGAAGAAGACAATGTTATGGCTACAGAGAAGGTGCACAATGAGCGAGATCAACATTAAATTTAAATTTAAAATTTGAGAGGTCCATTCAGTATTTTGTGGTAGATGATCCAATCTTGGATAGCATATAAATTATCCTCTACAAAATCTCTGATAGTCTGTTAATTTCATTTTGGAATTACCTTACAGACTGACTACGGCTTTTAACAGTAATATGTTGAAACTACATAAAACAGTAATAGAGAAATCTCACGGAAGTGACAGGATATGTACCATAAAATCTAAAAACCCAAATGCTCCTTAGTGCTGTGAGCAATGACAATTGGAATGGAGAATGTGCTCATAAAGCAAAAGCATCAATAAGTCATCAAAGTCATGTGAGTAATATCACTCTATTTGACAACTTAAAATACATTTAGTTTAAAATTATGTCGTAAAACCTCATATAACTAGTATACACAAGGCAAACTTGCGAAGTGAGATTGTTAACTGACATTTATAAACATAAATACTTTAAGCAGTACAATAAAAATGGGATCAAATTGCAATACTTTGAAGATGCCGGTAGAAAATTAATTCTTTACGGAGAGCAAGTGCTTAGAATGCACTTACAAAAGCTCTTTCACGACATTGAACTAAATAAGGCTTCATTTTCCAGTCAGGATTGGAACAAAAGCTTTAACACAACTTTGGAAAAGAAGGATATAACCTTGTTGGTCGACAATATTTTGAGAAGTGGGCATTAGATGATCTGGATCTAGAACAAAACCATTCGACTGCAATGAGATGTGACAATTCCAGCCAGTCTCTAGGCCCATCTTCTCAGCAAATTCCTACAAAAACATAAAAGTAATGTAAATGTTTAAACATTCTAGTATAAACAAGTGATTTTGGAAAGTTTCCTTTGTCATTAGCAATGTCCGAAAAGTCTGCATGTTAGCACATTGTCATCTGCTCAATTCCACAACGTACCGGCAGAGGGCTGTGAGGTCAGACCAGTTCACGTCACACAGAGAGAGGAAACTCTCAAAGATTTTGGAAGAAAGAAACGTACAGATTTGTTGATAAATGATATACTACTTTGTAAAAATGTGAATGTTAATCCTTCCAGTAAATAGTAGAAATGCATTTAAGGACAAGCTGGATAAATGCGTGAAGGAGAAAAGATCAGAAGGATATGCTCATCGAGTGAGATGAAATAAGATAGAAAGTAGCCCATGTGGAATATGAATACTGGCGTAGAACTATTACGCTGAATAACTTGTTCCTGGGCTGTAAGTTTCTAAGTGATTCTATGAAGATAGGCATTTTCAGTGAAGTATATTTGAAATTAACATTGATTCCATTTATCAACATAAAACAATTTTCAGAATGGGAAAGGGAGACTTTCAAACTTGATTGTCTTAGGAATCATTTTGCATAAATTGGGCATGCAGAATCAGAAATTTAAACAAGCAGCATCAACACGGTGCAGGAAGTTCCTTTCTGTTTAACCCATACTCTGTACAATGAGCCAATTTCCAATTGAGTTCAATGTCTGTATCAAAAGCAGAAATTGATGAAGGTTCCATCAGCAGGTTTGGCAGCATCTGTGCAGAGAAAGCAGAATTAACCTTTCAAGTCCAGGATCCTTCAGAATGCTTGCATATTCAGCTCTTGTACATTGCTTGCAGGAGCTCCATTTTATTATTGAGATACGTGCAAATATGATTATTGGCTATTTCTCAGTGTTGATAACGGGCTAGCACCCAGCACTCAACTACATTGGGCATTAAGTTTAGCCCCACATACAAAGGAGCTTTTAAAGCATTATCATAAAATCCATACACTATGGTTTTTATAACCATAATATGGGCCAGGATCGTACTGGAGTGGTCATTTCAATGCTAACACCATATTAAGGAAATTTGAGATCAAAAGCCCGTCAAATTTACTGGAGCAATTAAGAAAACAAAGGCATTAGACCTTCATGCAGCATTGCCTTCACAATGAGGGGAAATTTGTGTTGCTTACTATCATAGTAAGATTGCAAAAATGTTCTTTAATTATAACAGGGGACTGAAGAAATCTTCACTAATGATTTTCTGTTTATTATAAAAATCAAAATCAGTGTTCCAAATTCAAGGGTAAACATCCTTCCAAAGACATTTTGGAAATTATTTTATCTTCTGCAAACATTCAACAGAAAGAGGGAGTCCTCATATCCCAGAGAAAAAGCATAATGATCATACTCAGTACTTAAATTAGTAATCATTTATAACTTTGAGTCTGTTACCTTGCTTTTTAGCTCATCTTCCAAGGAAAAGTAAACAAATCTGATGCAGGTGTTACCTAAACCATCTATCAGATGGACCATGTCTAGTCTGGCTTGGTATTGGGAAGATATGAGACCAAGTAAGATCTGATCGCCAAGGGGGTGCAAATTATCTTCCTGATCAAAAGTTAATTCTGAAATTCAAGCAAAATATGCAATGTTTGTTAATTAAAAAGAACACAGATATTACCAATTAGGTGGTAAAATGAATAAATTAACATTTATTTCATTAAGTATTTTGCTAAACATTTTTGTATAAACATTTGGATCCACAACAATTACTTAAACAAATTTTTATTCAATCAAATATATATGATCATTCAAGAAACATTGATGGGTTCCTTCACTACACTTCTGCAAAGCTTTCTTTTTTGTAACCTTGGGAGACTGTGGCCCTAATTTTACAGTGATGATGATGGTGAAATTATCAGCATTCACCATCATTACTATAAAGAAATTGGCAGTTATCTCTGGAGTCCATACATGCACAGAATAAATATGGAAATTCAGAAGTTGCTGTCAGTTATTATATATTTCCCCAGAGGGTGTGCTACTGAGATTCCTGCTGACAGTAGCCAATGATAAACTTTGAAATCATGACTTGTGCTCTGTCAATGTTAGTCTTGCTGTAAAAATCCTTTAAATAATTCCACCTTGTTGATCAAGGTGTGACTGGTTTTGTTATGGGGTATTAATTTGATAATTACGGCTGAACACCCTGACTGACCTGAAGAGATAATTTCATATTCATGGAATGTTAAATCTCTCCTTTCTGGCAAAAAATTGCCCCACCTTCAAAATCATGAGACAAAAATTTGTCTACCTATGGCTAGCTTCTATCATAATCCACTCAATAGTTATTTATTTTGCTACCTGAAATCTTAAAAAGTAAAGTGAAAATACGCTTTTAACTTCATGGTATGCTGGCTATGAAAATACTGCAGTATGATTGGTTGCTTACTGTGCCCATTGACATTATAGCCACTGCATGTCAAAACCTAAATATAGGAACAAATTACTGCAGATGCTGGAATACTGTGGCTACAAGAGTAGTTCAGAGGCTAGTAATTCTGCAGCAAGTAACTCATCTTCTGACTCTGTAGTTCCTGTTCACCATATAGAAGTCACACCTAAGGGGTGTGATGGAATATTCTTCACTTGCCTGGATGGGTGCAGCTCCACCAACACTTAGGAATTTCAAACAGCTCACTTGATTGACACCCCAAACACAGCTTTCAATATTCACTCTTTCTACTACTGACTCATTGTGGCAGCAGGGTGTACCATCTACAAGTTGCATCAAAGTGACTCAACAATGACTTATTCACATTATATTCCATCTGCCTTGCTCTCACCAACCCACTCAGCCTGTCTAAATCCCATTGAAGCCTCTTGCATCCTTCTCACAACTCACATCCCTGCCAAAATTTATATCATTTGCAAAGTTGGATATATTATAACTGGCCCACACATCCAAATCATTGACACTGATTGTGAATTGCTGCGGCACAAACACTGATCCTTATGGTTTCAAGAAGGGAATGTCATCTCACAGCAATTGGTAAACCTTCCTGACCTTTCTTCAAGGTCATTGACAAACACTATTGATACACTGTTAAACATTTGGGTGATATTTATGTCATATTAGCTGTCAAATACTCAGCAGTTTTGGGACAGGATTTCAGGTTTTTGATTCAGAGTCAAATGGGATCACAACCCTAACAGTATGACAGAAACAAAAGCATGGCAGTGAATTTCCCCAAATTGGCCAACTTGCGGCCAGAAGGTGAACTTGCCAATCCATTAAGAAAGGCACACAGTTTCCCAAAGTTGGAGGGTCAATAAGAGCCTATTCGGTTTGGGAGGAGCAACACTCTGTAGTTTGGGTCGGAGACAGACCAGAAGATGCCTTCATTTTATGGCAGCCATCTCTGCAACTTTCAAAATTTTTAAAATAAAGACAGACCCCAGCATGTGGGGAATCTGTGTGGAAGGGAATCCTCTGAGGCTGGGCAGGTGGAGAAGGCCTCTCAGCCTGCCTGGACTGCTGGCGCCCGAGATTGTTGCTGAGATTTCTACACACACAAAATGGCCTTGTTTCTGACACCTAAAGGGGGTCCCAAGCTGACTGGAAAATTTCAACTGATTGCCAACAATAGGCCTTAATCACCTTTGCGTGCTGATCTCACCCCTAATAAAAAAACTCAGGGACAGAATATGCTGGCGAATCACCGCAGTAGTTAGTGGCGATTTTACTCTATGTCCGTCTCCACATTTGCCCCTGTATGGTGACGGAAATTATCCCTGGATTCAGTTCTGGTGAAGGGGGATCTCCACTGTGACTTTTTCACCTCCTGCTTTTACTGTGTAAAAGGACACATTTGTCAGTTCCCAGAGAGAGGGAGAAGTGTTTATTACTGCACTTGTTTACTCCAGAACGAGCATATTGGAAAGCAATCCCCACTTTGGCTACTATCATTCCTATTCTGGTGATTCCTGAGAGCAATATTGGCACAGGAGGGTAACAGCAGTGAAACAGAGTGGCTTTCTAGGGCCTGATTCCCTTTCACCACTTATATGCAAGGGAGGGTCAGTCAGACAAAAACAAAGGTCACACTGGATACTGGACAGCGGGATTCTCTACGTTCTTTGTTCCACTGTTGCCACCATTATCCCAATGATTGTCTGCTGTGATAGTGGAGGTCAATCCAACGTGTAATCTCTTTGTAGAAAACGGCCAAGTGAAACAAGGTGCCTAAACATCCACTTTGTGGGGAGAGAGGTGAATCTCTGAATCCTGTGATACCAAGCTGCAGTATCACCCACATTGCATAATCACCCATATATTTCTCACAGCACAGTTCCTAGAAACAAAATGTTCCAGAAACGCGTCCTCTAAATTTGAGTATTTCTGATCTGGTGGGTCATTTTCTAGTTTTTGACACACGTGGGTTGACTGTAACAAACCGTCCAGGTCCAATGCTGCTGAGGTATCTGTTTGGCTGCAGCGTTTAGTTTTCAAAGGTACTTGGAGACACTTCTCATCATCACTGGGATGCAAGGTATGGAACATTGGCTTATAAGATAAGGCAATGCACTCTCCAGTCAGACAGGCACGTTAATAAAAATCAAAGATTTTCTTTCTGCAAAAGCGAACAATTGCAAAGAAAAATAAATTGAAAATTATTAAACTCTAATATTAAAACTCTAATATTTCAGTATAAGGTATACTGGCCCATGGGAACAGACTCACTGGTGGTATCGAGTTTGATCTGTGATGGATTTTATGATGGGAGGTTGTGATTGTGCAAGGGAAAATAGACCAAAAAAGCATAGCAAATAAGTGGCACCACACCTTGATACAGCTGAGGTGCAGGGAAGTTGCACAATAGGAAGGGGACCCTGCTGAAAGTTGTTTGTTGCCCTTTGCTGAACGTATAAAGGCCAACTCTCTCCTTGAGAGAGTTTGGTGATGAAGTCAATGCAGTCCTCCAGGCCCCAAAGGGGAGGTTTGCAATAGTGTCTGGAGCTAGGGAGACCACATCCTCACTCGCATGAGCCCTATTACTTATGGGAATTGTTGGCCAGAGGAAAGGCTACTGTTTCATGTGGACAATCATTGCCTTTTAATGCATTGTTTCATTGCTGTGTGCAACCTGCAGGTACAGCTGGAATCCTTTGATCAGGAAACAGTACACATGTTAACATATGGACCTGCAAGTTCAATAACAGCATGAAGACAATCCCATTTAAGAATACTACAGTTCAAAGCACGAGATTAATTGGTGCATATGAGAATGTACAAACATGGGAACTTAAGTGCACCATTCAACAACGTGAATTTGCGCTGCCATTTAATTTTATCATGTCTAACCCAGATCAAAGATCAACTTACTTGCCTTGATAACCTTGAAAACTCTTTACAATCTCAGTTTTCACACTTCTAATTTAGCACTAGCCGCAACAATTTCTCATCAAAGACTGTTGAACTTTTAACTTATTCCTTTATTTTCCCAGCTTAAACAACAAAAGACTTTAATGTTAACTACTACCTTACTTCTTTATTTTTCTAATTATTCTATGAAGTAATGCTTAACTTTTTAACTCTCGTTTCTCTGAATACTTTGTACATTAGTTTTTTTACACCTCGGTGCTTTGGTACCTAAGATGGCGCCATGTGCGGTGACATAATGCACTTTTCACTGTACTCCTGTACTTGAGTGTATGTGACAATAAAATCTAAATTTAAATCTAAATCTAAATCTGTTGAGGAGAGAGAATTCTAGATTTCCATTACCCTTTTTGAGAAGAAATATTTCCTGACATTACCCCTGAATGGCCTAGATCTAATTTTAAGGATATGCTCCCTCATTATGGACTCCCACCACCAAAGGAAGTAGTTTCTATTTATCTATCCTGTCATATCCATGAAATGTCTGATATATGAAAGTGCCTGAATGTTTACTAATATAAAGGTCATGTTGTTACCTGGTGCATCTAGAAAGTGGACAAATATCATTTCCATCCCAAAATTCACTGCAAGCATCTAAGATTGTGTCAGCGGACCCATAGGAGAATAGCTGCATCAATTCTGTCAATAAAAACAACATTCATTTAAGGTCATATCAGAAAAACTAACATAATTTATTGTCTAACTTCAATACATACAAACACAGACAGACAGGTAAACACATTCTTTCCAATCTACATTCTCTGAAACAATTGCAGTTGCTTATGTGTAAGAAAATATGCACTCTCCTCCCTCAACTAAAACTATGCAATCTCCTCAGAGAAGCAAATGTATAAATAAAATGCCAAATAATTTGGAGGAATCTCTCCTCATGGAAATCAACCTATCCCCAGATAATACTTTGCCCCTAATGTTGCTCTGGAGAAACTCAGCCAGTCAGAAATAGGTTCAGAACTCACTTGGATTTATCTTCATTTAATAGATTTTCCTGCAATAGAAAGGAGCTTGTCAGGCTGCTGTCATCGCATTGAAAATAAATGAGTACAAAAAAGAAATTGTCCAACAAAACCCTATGTTCTCCTCCTCCTCCGGAACTTTAACTCCTTAAGCCTTCATCTTTAAATGTACATTCTTCACCCAAATCATCTTTTTATGCTTACAAATAGATCAGAAGAATTGAAAATAAAATACAAAAGTAAACTTTAAATTGCCACAGTATGTATATTGAATGCAAAAAGCTCACACCGTCTCAGATATTCATATATCTATTGAATCACCACGAATTTTGTGGGTAAAGTTGTCTCTTTTGGACTTATAGACTTACACATGGCGTGGAATAAATGACTAACTTTAACGATTCCACACGTCCCGCCTCCATTGGCTAGCGTAGACCTGTGGTCTGGGGAATCTAACCAAACCTGTTGTGCTGATGGCTGTTAAGGTGTATAGTGTCCACAAGTACTGACTGCAAAACAAATCTTTTCACTAAACTTAGGCATATGTAACCACAATAAATCAAATCAAATCAGGATTATTACTCCTTCATTCCTTTTGGAATCTTCTATAGCTAGGTGGTGTAGACATAGTTAGAGTTAAGAGAGAGACATACACTCACTCATGCTCCTACTCACATGCTGACATGCATAAGATGCACACCCATCTGTACAAACCCCTGTGCACAGGCAAACTCTCACCACACATAGTCACTCATAACACATTCTGACATACCCAGTCACTCATGGTACACTGTCACTCACCACATAGTCACTCATGACACACTCTAACTCATTACACACATTAACTCACACACAGACAAAATTTTGCTTTTTAGCTCAGGATCCTTACATCAGAGTCAAAAGTAAATGACATCAGCACACTTTGGACCAATAATACACCCTCCAGATGGAATGCAATAACACCTGGAATTAAGGTAGGAGAGAGATAGATGGAGAGAGACAGTAGGTGCCTCCATTTTGAGGTAATCCCTCCACTCATTTTAATACTTTTAACATTACTAAAATAACATGAGTAACCAGGCCATATTATTGAGGGATGGGAGAGGGAAATATCCCTAGAAGAGCTGAAGCCAAAAATGCAAGAGGGCCTCAAACCATGTCTTGGGTTCTGGCTCCCTGCTTTTCCACCAGGAGATTGCCTTTGAGGGTCTGATAGCTGACTGGCAAATTCAGGTGAGAGGAATCACTGAGCACTCTCTGTGCCATCGCTACAAGGATGGTCATTGTTGCTGGGGGCCTCTGTGGTTCAAGGAGTGATCGTAAAGGATCCCCACTCTGATTAATCTGATGAGAGACTGTCATATTTCAGTGGGTTATCTCCCCACAGCAGTAGGCCCTCCCAACATGGCCCAAATGTGTGCACAGTTGGGAATTGTAGTGATTGGAATGAGGGCTAGGTGGATCACATCAAATATTGAGATCCCTCATTGGAGTTGTTAACTTGGGTAAATCAGGGATCGCATACTCGCTCTCCTTCCAATCACTACAGGAGTTGTGCACTTAAGTGGCTTGACTATCTTTTCAATGGGTATCTGAACTGCTATCTTTCTCGATATTGGCAAAGTGGCATAGTGATAGGTAGATAGTTGGGCACCCTGCCTGTCACCAACCACTGCCATTTTTCCAGGTTTCTCGCCACTCAGCTTCACTCTCAGAGGACCCAGGAAGTTCTGGTCAAACACTATTGATTACATATGCACACGTATGCACACATACAAGAATAGACCCACATCTGGAAGAAGTAAAGATGCTGGTATAGATATAAACATAATTGAGGGCTCCTGGGCTGTGGTGGTATTGATGCTACGTCTGAGCCAGGAGGCCTGTGTTCAAGTCCCCTTTGCTCCAGAGTTGTATAATAACATCTCTAGACTGGTTGATTAGATACATAGTTGAACATAGAGCGTAATCTATAGAACTAATCATTGTGTCAACAGCAGAATGTTTATTTTTAGACAACTTACCTTTGAGCTATCCTCATAAACAACACTGATTAAAACCAATAACCACAGACGACTCTCTGTGGTTAACTACTGGTCAGTATATTCACTATTATCTTGTATTTAAATTAACTGACATGATCTGAACAAAACGGATGAAATGAAAGACTAACAAATCCACAGCCTTCTGAAATGCCCCTTTCTGTTATCCTATAGGCAGTACATTCTAAACTGAAGGATTTAAGTTACATATGACCTACCGTTTACTTTCAAATGTCTGAGGGAAAGTCTTGCAAATATATCAAGGGAAAGGCTGTGTCTTGTTTATTTATTGAATTCTAAATTAACTGAGAAGAGAGTAAATCCAGAGCAGTTTATTGATACAGAAAAAAATGGTAGTCAATGCCTCAGTGTCCGATGACAGAATGGTGATTAGGAACTATGAAGAGGAGAGGGGAGATTTGGGAAGAGAAAATCCCATCATTCTCTTGCACTCCATAGCAACGCTGAGTGCCAATAACACTTAGCTTTCTTAGAAAGGTTGCAAATGTAAGAAAGTAAATGAGATGGTATGTGCATTCCTTATACCTTCACTGAATAAGCAAGATTTTAACTCATTCAAAACCCACCCCTTTGAAGTGGATAAAAATTGTTCTTAATACCTCCATCCATTTTCCACATTCCCCATCTCTTTTGGCAATATAGGCTAAGGTGAGAGGTGTACAGGTGAATCCCTGGAACAATTCCCTGCTTACAATTGTGCGCATCACCTTGGACAGGCTTCTTAATTCCTGCAGAAAATCCTGGCTTTCACCTCTGGTCATGTGTCTGAGGAAGTCAGGTGGTGGGTCAGTTAGGGGTTAGGCCAAGCCATTCAATTCATCTAATTTTATGGGCTCTACTTGTTTATTTATTTGATTAACAGTATTTCTAAAAAGAATTTATTAAGATAGTAATAAATTTATTATTGTAACTTTACTCAGCTGATTCTTGTATTGAACAACCTGTCTGAGGCCAGAGTTTCCTAGGGTGGTTGTCATAGATAGATTATCATAGAATCCCTACAGTGCGGAAACTGGCCCTTCGGCCCAACAAGTCCACACTGATGCTCAGAGCATCCCACCCAGACCCATCCCCCTAATCGACACCTCCCTGAACACTATGGGCAATTTAGCATGGCCAATCCACCTAGCCTGCACATCTTTGGACTGTGGGAGGAAACCCACGCAGACACCGGGAGAATGTGCAAACTCCACACAGACAGTCGCCTGAGGCTGGAATCAAACTCGGGTCCCTGGCACTGTGAGGCAGCAGTGCTAACCACTGAGCCACTGTGCCAATTAGTAACAAGCCACTCTTTGGATCCAGTCCAGTATGAACTGCATTTACTGTAAAAACCTCAATGCTGCAAATACTCTATGGAGAAATTCACCATCCATAGCTCTTCCTGCTATAAAGTACTTTGGGGTTGGAAACCATTCAAATCTCTCGATCTGACGTGAAATGAATACTGAAACTACAAACTGTAACTGCAAATGCAGTGATCAAGGCTCAAAATGCCACGCACTGTATGGAAATAAACAGATCTGGTTTGCACTTTCTGTCATGTTAAACTTGAATTTGAATTTGACTTAAATTGAATTAGCTTTATTGTCACATGTACTAACATGAGTACAATGAAAAGTTTACAAGTTGCCACTTACGGCACCATCTTAGGTACAAAGGTACCTAGGTACAAATTCTTGAGTACAAATTCTTAGGGGAAAAAATGAGAAAAATAAAGAAATAAAAAGCCCAGCATTACAGATCTTCAAAAGTACAAAATCAGAGTAAAAAATTAGAAAAATTAAGAGATAAAAGTTCTGAATAACAGTCCTTCCATGATAATACAAGAAAGGAAAAGAAAGAAATAAAAAGAAGAGAATTTAAGACAAAGCCCACTTAATCCATTTTACGGTTCTGGGCTCGAGGACCTGACACGCATCTCCCCGCCAGGTGGAATCTCAGGCTAGACCCATCATAGTGCTGAAACTCGCACTGTTATGTAATGGCACCTTCACTAATTTTGTGAATTAGGTATATTTTGGTGGTAGAGGTGGAGGAGAGAACTCAGCTCTTATTTTCTGCTGATCCAAATTACATCTGCAAATTCTGCATCTACAATGGGTAATTGCTTCTGTTCTTAATATACAAATTAATATATCACTTTGTCAGGTTATACCCAAACACATGGTCTAATGAAATATTAATTCTACATATGAAATGTAGATGGATCAAGATTATTCAGCATCTTTCATGACTTTGAGAAGTCCCAAAGCACTTTACAATCAATGAGCACTATTTGAGGTCTGCTTGCCGTTGTAATATAGGAAAAGTAGCAGGCAATATGCGCCTCACAGTGACCCACAATATTAGCTGGGATATTGGGTCAAATAAGTCTCTTCTTTGAAAGATACTATGAGTTCTTTTACACCCATTTGAGAGAGCATGCTTGACAATTTATCTAAATGATGTCACTTCCCACCATGCAGTGCTCGCCCAGGCCTGCAGTTATGTTGGTTTAGATTCGGTGGATATAGATATTTGGAATGTTCTCAGGAGTGAAGTCTGAGAGGTTCAAAATGAAAAGAAATTCTTGACTAAGAATCTCGAGAATGTATTAGCCATTCCTTTTCAAGATACAACAACTTTCATCAGGTCAAAAAGTTCACAGACATGAAATGTTAATTCTGCTTTTCCTTCCATGCATGCTATCAGACCAGTGGAGTGTTCACAGCATTTTCTGCTTTTACCTATACAGTGTGCCTTTAATCCAATGCACTGTATTTGTCACAATTGGTGATAGCATTCAAAATTGCCTTCTGTAAGGGCAATAGGGCTGGTTTTGTGCAAACTGACATCGTGGCTCAAGTCTTTCTCAACTATTGTCTATGCCCCTCATTCCTGGACTATTCTTGCTGTCTCTGTTTTATTAGGTTAGATTAGGAATTTAGCAATTCGAGAAATGGAAATCGAAGTAAATTGGATTTACGAGCCTGAGTTAGAAGTGTGCACAAGCAGGTTTATCATATGACTCAGAGGCAGCTTTCTTTTAGTGATGAATGATGGTTCCCATAGTGATGCTTCCTGTAAGTTAGTCATTGCGGTTGACGTGTATGCAGCAGTGTACGTTTGCTTATGGAAGAGGTTCCTTGCAGAGGAGGTGAAGCCTGTGAGATGAAATCGGTTTCAATTAATCTATGACAGGAAGTGGTAGGAGGAACAGTTTTGAGCCATACCTGCAATGTTTAAAGTATTTAAGAAAAGCATAGTTACAAGTATAGAGCAAATTATGCCATGCAGCCAATCTTGCAGAAAATGACTTACGACTGAAAAATTTTAATTACATTTTTCCATTAGATTGTACTAATGAGAGACTATTAAACAAAAATAGATTGCCTCCATCAAAAATCATTGTGAATGGCAACAATTAAATAACAAATGTATTTATCTAAATAATTAAAATCAAATCTCAAAAACACCTGCATCAAATCCCTAAAGAGACAGTTTTGCTCTGCGGTTCATTAGGTGATACCACGGTGAGCTGAGTGTTCTTTGCAGCAGGAGATATAGATGTGTTTCCTGTTTAAATATGCATTAACAATCACAAAAGCCAAAAAAGGCAAATATTCTGACATTCAATGCTAAAGTGATCATAGCAACACACATCAAAGACATCCATTTATATAGTAAATCAATGCATTTTCAAATTCTTTGGGCCAAACCTTTACCTGGATGAGCATTTCAGCATGCAACTGTCCAGAGTTAGTTTTGTTTTAGGGGAGATAATCCAATCTTCTTCCACATGCCTACTGAAATGCTATTCTCCTTACACATTTCAATGGATCAGGAATGCCTAAATGTATACTGCCACTGAGGTCGGTAGGTGAAAATCAGATTTCCTCCCTGCACGGTATTTTCGTCCAACGCTGTGGAGTTTTGGAATCCCAATAAAAGCACATCAGGTTTGAGAGTTCATGAAGGAAATGGAAAGCCTGCTGAGGTTTCTGGATCATGTGGAAATCTGAGTATGAAATCATAGAGTCATACAACGCAGAAACAGACCTTTCGGTCCAACCAGTCCATGCCGAACATAATCCCAAACTAAACTAATCCCATCTGGTTGCTCCTGGCCCATATCCCTCCAAACTTTTCCTATTCATGTCTCCATCCAGATGTCTTTTAAATGTTGTAATTGTATCCGCATCCACCACTTCATCAAGAAGTTCATTCCACATGCAAACCACACTCTGTGTAAAAAAAATTGCCTCTTATGTCTTTTTAAAATCTCTCTCCTCTCACCTTAAGAATGTGGCCCCTAGTCTTGAAGTTCCTCATCTTAGGGAAAAGAGAACTAACATCAACTCTATCTATACCTCTCATTATTTTATAAACTTCTATCAGATCACCTCTCAACCTCCTACGTTCCAGCGAAAAAAGTTCCAACCTATGCAGTCTGTCTTTATAACTCAAGCTCTCCATACCTGAATCCTCTCCAGTTTGATAACATCCTTCCTATAACTGGGCAACCAGAACTAGACACAGTATTCCAGAGGAGGCCTCACAAATGTCCTGTATAATCTCAACATAACATCCCAACTCCTATTCTCAAAGGACTGAGCAATGAAGGCCAAATGTGCCAAATGCCTTTATAACCATCCTGTCTCCTGTCTATATGTGATGCAAATTTTAAGGAATTATG